TGGCGGCGAAGCAGACGAAGGCCGGCGTGCTCATCCCCGAGCAGGTTGCCGGCAAGGTGAACGAGGGCACCGTGGTCGCCGTCGCCGCCGCAACGAAGGACTGGGCCCCCACCGTGAAGGTGAACGACACGGTGCTGCTCCCCGAGTTTGGCGGCAGCAGCGTGAAGGTGGAGGGCGAGGAGTTCTTCCTCTACAACGAGGACTCCCTGCTCGGCGTGCTGCAGGGATGAGTTGTGGCTTCTCCGCAGAGGCCGCTAAGGAGCTACGTGATGGAACACATATTATTTCTTTTTATTTGTGGTAAATATTTAATGGACTAATTTGCTGGTTGAGTGAGGGCGCTGTGTGAGTGTGTGGGTGCGCAGGGGCGGCGGCTGCCGAATTTACACTTCTACTGTGGGACTGTGTGTTAATCCTTTTTCTATCTGTGCGTTAGCGGTTTCCCGTTTCCTATTGGGGCTTTTCTTCTTATTCGAAGAGGGTTTGCGACCTTCGCGAGGGGGCAAGTATGACTGCTGCATTTTCTCATGCACCAACGCACGCTGTGCGCCGCGTGTGCCGAAGGGTGCGGGTGTTTAGTGGCGTGACTTTCGGACCGTCGGTCTCACGAGTTGCCTACGCGGCCGGGGGCTTCTCCTCTACGACACGCGCCACGGGTTTGTCCCCGACGCCGCCCCCAGCAGCCGTGGCGGGAGGCGGTGCTGCGTCCCCCTCCGCTGCACCGACGCCACACGCAACTCCCTCGACTTCGTCTGAATTGTGGCGGCGGGCCGGGGACTCGGGGGCGGCGACGATCGGCGGGCCGCACGTGGGGGCCACCTCGCCGGAGCAGGTGGAGGAGACGTTTCGCTTGTCGGTGTTGGCCCGCACGGCGAGCAACGCCCAACTCCGGCGCTATTTGGAGCAGCTGCAGCCGAAGGATCACGCGTTGGCGCTGGCGGCCGTGCGGGGGGCGGAGGCCGGCGGACTTCGTGTGGACGCCAAGACAAATGAAGTGCACCTGACGAAGCTAATGGACGCAGGGCAATTGCGGGCCGGCATGGAGCTCTACCGCCGCATGCTGGCGACGCGGATGACTCCAACAGCCAACGCCTACGCAGCGCTGATGCAGATGTGCCTGCAACGCGAGATGCCGGAGGCCTGCCAGAAGATGTTTGAAGAGATGGTAAAGCGTGGTCAGTCGCCGAATACGCGAAACTATGAGCTGTACATCGCCTCGCTGGCGATGGAAAACCCACCAAAGTGGGAAAAGGCAGTGGAAGTGTTTGATCACATTTCACGCGAGCGACGTGGGAGGCATGTGACAGCCACGACCTACAACTCGCTTATGCGGGTGTATCTCAATATGACTCCGTTTGATTGGCGCGTCGTGTACAACTGTTACTACGCACTGCGGCAGCACAAGCCACCGATTGCACTGCAGTGGGAAAGTTATTTGTTGGTGGCAGAGGCACTGCGTCGGGGACGGGCTGGATACATTCGTCGCTTCCTCACCTACCTGGATGCCTGGTTTTGCGTGACACATTATCGTTCATTGGACTTCTTGTTTGGGCTGGCGTTGTATTTGGCTGCCATGATGGTGCTGAAGGCGCTAATAAGCTGGTTGGTCGTGTTTTACTACAAGCGGACGGTATCGAAAGGGAAAGAGGCCGCCGATTCCATTTTGTAGCGGTGCCAGCTCACAGTGGGGGGCGAGGCGTCCGTTATTGTGTGGGAGGAGGAGGAGGAGAAGTGGCACCCACGACACACGCACGCACACACATGCACACATGCACAGGGAAAAAGAGGGAATAAAACAAGCTGGAGGGGAACGAGACGTGAATGAAGTTATTTTGCCTGCGGTTCCAAGTAGACTGCACAACGGCGGTGAATAATTGGGTGGTTTCTGGGGTTTTACAACTTCTTTCCTGCGCTTACGACACTATTAATTTTATTATTATTGTTATTGTGTCCTTGTTTTTTTTTGTGTGTGTGTGTGTCACTGCTGGTTGCCGGTGCGTGCGGACGATTTGGCGTCCCCGCACTTTCTCTTGATGCGTGTCTGCGCGACAGCGGAGATCGGCGCTCATTCGGGGCCACCTCAGCGCTGGGCGGGGCGAGGAAGTCAAGAGGAAAAGAAGCAAAGAAGAGGAGGAATATAGACGCACACGCCACACACAAGGGAAAGAAAAACCCACCACTACAGAGGGAGCAGAAGGGGGCGGCGCGCGCGGACATGAATTCCTGCGGCGCCGATACGCAGGAGGTGGACGCCGCCCGCGAAGAGGCGGTGGCGGCGGCGGCCTTTGAAAAGCCGGGGGAGGAGACTGGACTGCCGGCCCCCAGCGGTCAACCGGTTGAGGGCGCTGTCGACGCGCTGCAGCGCATGCAGAAGAAGCAACGGACGGAGGCGGAGGCTAGGGCCTTTGTCCGTGAGCTCCTTGCGAACAAGGGAGAGGCGCACGTGCAGAGTGTGCTTCAGGCGGAAATTCAGAAGGTGAAGAAGAAGGAGTCGGAGCTGGCCACCCTCAAGAAGAAAGTCGCAGCCACAAACAAGGAGGTGGATGAGCTGCAGTCAGGTATCCGGCGGCTAATTGAAACAAGGGCGGAGGCAGAGCGTTTGTGTAAAGTTTTGCAGGCCGCGATGAAGCGACGGGCGCTGCTCACAGAGGAGGCAAAAAAGGACATGGAGGAGCATCGTATCAGTGTGAAGCAAAAAGTGGAACAGAGCGTGCACGACATCCGCGTCAAGTGCGACGAGCGTAAGCAGAAGGTGGCGGAGGTGATGGCCGAGAATGAGCGTCTCCGCGAGGAGGTGGGGCACAAAAAGAAGCAGTTTGACGAAGCCTACGAGTCCTACCAATCAAGCTGGAAGGCCCGCGAGAGTTACTTGGAGGAGCTGATGCGTACCTTTCAACAGGTCACGCGGGAGGTGGAGGCGCTCGAGGGCCAGGTGGCCCTCACGCGGCGGGAGCGGCAGGCGACGGAGGAGGGCGTGGTGGTGCTGCAGCGCCAAGTCGACACGTACAGCACGCAGTTGCGGGACTTCTCCGAGGGCTACTCCGTTGAGGACGCGGAGGCGGCGGCGGCGCAGCAGCGGGAGCAGGCTGAGGCGCGGATAGCACGCCTGGAGGCCGAGAAGAAGGAGGCCAACGAACTCCGACTGAAGTTCGACAAGGAGCTGGCGGGGTGGCGGACCGCGCTTGCCACCGCGAAGCGCGAGTTGCAGAAGGCTGAGAAGGCACGCATGGCGGCGGAGAAGCAGTGCCGCGTCACGCAAGAAAAGTCGCGGCTGAAAAAGAAGACATGAACGCAAACAACACAGCAAAAAAAAAAAAAGTATCCATGCCTCGTGGAGCTCCGTCGTTTTT